GTGGCCCGTGATGGTTGCTAAAATTCTAAATACCTCTGGCCTTGATCGGCTAAGCAGGTCCAAGGTTTTCGCCCTGTTATAGTCAGGCCATAGTTTTCTCGCTATCTTGCAAGTCTGTATATCTGACCACCTCCGTCTAGCCAGTTCAAGGAAATGCGTAGTAATCTCTCTTTGGACTACTCCAAGAGGGAAACCCAGTGCCACTGCCTGGGATTCATCCAAACCGGCTCCTGCCTTCGCCAACTCATCCGCCTTCTCATTGCCTTGGCTATTGCCAATAGCGCCGCCTGGCTGTCAGAGTATATTGTTGCTTTACTGCTGTGTCCAACTCTATTGCCTAGGATTTTGCAGGCTTCTAGGATCCCTAGGACTTCCGCTTGGAAGATGCTTGTATTATTTACCAACCGTAGAGACAGAGCCACGCCGAGTTCCTTGGAGTAGACACCTGCTCCCACACCGCAATCCATCTTGGATCCATTGGTGTATAGAGAGATCTTCTCTCGGTCGGCCACTCGGTCTCTTCTCCAGTCCCTTCTGGATGGGAATAGCACTTGCACGTTACAGCTGAAGTCCGAATTGCCTACCATATAATCTGTCGTCCTATTTAATTGCATTTGATTTATGATCAACCCATGTCCGAAGTGTCTAGTCCTCCAAAGGCCCGACTCTCTGAGTCTGACCGCCGATTTCATAGCCACTTTTTTCAGGTGGAGATCAATAGCAATTAAATTGAGGATGGCGTTTAAAGCTTCTGCCGGGCAGGATCTTAGTGCGCCTGTTACTCCTGCGCTTGCTGCCCTTTGTATGCTTCTTAGCTTGCTGACATTATATTGTCTGCTTAGGCCGGGCCACCAAACCAAGGCGCCGTATGTTAGAATTGGTCTTATGATCGCGATGATTGGTCCACATCACAAGTTTAGGATTTAGTCCCCGGTTTCTACTGAAGATTCTCTTGCAAGTGTAGTATGCTATGTAGGCCTTCTGTCTACGGAATTCGACATTGGTTTTCCAGTTAAGTTTGTTATCCAGCACGACTCCAAGATACTTTGCGCTGGGGGACAATGAGAGCGCCTTGCCGTCTAGCGATGGTAGCTTGAATTGTGGTAGTTTGTGTCTGTTTGTAAATAGGATAAGTTCTGTCTTGGCTGGGTTCACATTTAGGCCGCTTCTCGTAGCCCAGGCGTGTAGCCTTCCCAGGGTTCCTTCAAGGATTTCGCTAACGGTAGAGAGGAATGGACCTGTGGCTGCTATTACAACATCATCCGCATACGCCACAACTTTGACTCCCCCTCTATTGAGTTCTAGCAATATACCGTTCAGGGCTATCACCCATAGCAGTGGTGAGAGCACTCCGCCCTGTGGAGTGCCCCTGTTCACATGATGTATAATAGAGTTAGCCCCATTTGTTGCCTGAATGATTCTATTGACTAGCATCGATCGTATCCATCTACAAACACTGTCGTCAACACCAATATCTATCAAAGAGTCTATGATGGTGTCAACCTCAATGTTATTAAATGCGCCCTCGATGTCAAGAAATGCCGCCAGAGTATATTGTTTAAAGTGCAACGATCTTTCTATTAAGCTCACCACTTCATGTAAAGCAGATTCAGTGGATCTGCCTTTGATGTATGCATGTTGTGCTGTTGAGAGTGTCGCTTCACCTAACAGCGATCTTATATAAATGTCGAGAAGCCTTTCCATTGTTTTGAGCACAAAGGAGGTAAGGTTTAGGGGTCTAAAATCTTTTGCTATTTCGTGGTTTTTCCTTCCTGGCTTGGGTATGAACACGACTTTTACCCTTCTCCAGCTTTTAGGAATGTAGCACAAGGTAATAGTAGCCTTAAAAGTAGTCTCAAGTAACGGTGCTATCTCTTCCTTCACCCTCTGGAGCATTGCTGGGATTACGCCATCTGGTCCAGGGGATTTGAAGGGAGAGAAGCTGTTAATAGCGTAAATAATCTTTTCCCTGCTCACGATCGAGTTCAACAGTATACTGCTAGTTGAACCAGGTTCAATTGACCCTGATGTGGTTGGATGTCGAATACATCCCGGGAAATGGAACTTGACTAACGTGTTTAGAGAATCACTAGCTGTGTTCGTCCACACCCCGTTTTCTCCCTTAATGAGTGTGATATTTGTGTGTTCTTTTGATAGGATTTTGCTGAGCCTGGCTGAGTCTTTAGAGTTCTCTAGAGAAGAGCAGTAAGATTGCCAGGATTTAGTTTTAGATTTTCTCAATTCCTTTTTATAAGATCTTAGGGCGCTTTTATAAGGCGCCCAGTTTTTAGTTCTAAAGCAATCATTGTAGATTTTCCTTATTTTGTCTCTTTGGGCTCTGAGATCCCCATTCCACCAGGGTGGGGATTTCTTTCTTGCTGTACTAACTGGAGTTGATCTTTCAAAGGCTTTCTTCATAACCTCTTCTACTTTATTTACTCTATTATCAAGGTCCCCAACTGTAGTGACAGTTGTATTTAGTGGGAGCTTACTTGGTTTACGCTTAAGTGTGTTACTATATCTTTCCCAATTAGTCCTGTGGGGGTTTCTGTATTTCGAGGGGGTATTGGAAATTCCGTGCAGATTAAAGAGGATCAGACGGTGATCAGACATTGAAGGCCTATCAGATACTCTCCACTCTTCTACAGACACGCTGTCGTTCTCTGACAACAGGGTTAGATCCAGCACCTACTTCCATCCAGGAAACCGGTTTGAACTCGGGAATATGAATGTGGGTGTATTATCTCTATTGCAGATACTTAAGTTAGTATTTAATAAGAAGTGTAGTAAAGACTCACCTCGGTCGTTCTCCGTAGAACTACCCCAAACTGGATGCCTTGCATTCGCATCGCAGCCGACGACTATAATTTGTCTGGGGTTTTTGGCTATTATCTCCTGGATTTCGGTTGGCGGACTGTCCCTATCGTGGGCCATGTATGATGAGGCCAGGAGTATACTTGGCTGTCCGGTGGTCTCCACCTAAACCATTGTTGTATCTGATGTGCTGAAATTAGAGCAAAGGAATGCATTTATACCGTTCTTGATAAGAATACACGCTCGCGGTTTACCCACCTCGCTCTTATAGTAGAGTTTATAATTATTTATGTTTAGTCCCATGACTGTATCGTGCTTGACCCAGGTCTCTTGAATTAGGCTAATGTCTATATCCTCCTCACTGAGAAGGACAACTAGATTATCTGTAGCACATTTGGAGTGCTGCAGATTTATTTGGGCTACTTTAAGTTTCCGGTTCAGGGTCATCTATCAGCTTCACACCCATGAGAAGCTCACCAGCTCCATCAACCCCGGGATCTTCTTCTACCGGGCTAACCTCTCCGAGGAATACCCGCACTCTAGCCTTACGGATACCGAAGCAGAGCCGATAGTCAGCCTTCTCTAAGGCGTCTAGTGATTCTGCGCAAATAGCTAGCAGAATGGGCTTATTTGTAGGCCTTCTTGGCTCTTCAACCTTTATAAGCTCCCATTCCTCGATCGCCGGTATGTCTTTATTATGTAGCTTAAGACACCGCAGCAACTTTTCGCCTGGTTCATCCATCGGAGGCAGCCAAATGCGCGCACGTGGTCTCCTTGGAATGTCCTTAGCTGGGATCAGCTTGTGCTTCAAGCCGACAAAAGTGTCGCTGATCTTAGCGACGCATCCAGCAAGGAAATCCAGGGAGAACTGGTTCGCGCACTTGACTACCCGGTATCCCCGTAGGGATTCCGACGAGTCGAACTCTGGATGAGGACCTTCGGGGTTGTCGAGTACGTAGTTCATTACTAGGCTCGACAGCCTCACATCAATCTCCACCCATTTTTGCTGCACTGCCAGCGGTGTCTTGCTATTTTCATCTATTATCGCCGCCTGTAGGTGATCTCTGGCGACGTCACTAAAATAGCGATGCTTCGCGGGTGCTGCGGACTCCGCATCACCTCCTTGCTTAGCCTTCTTTGCAATGGCCCCTTGGCCGCCTTCATTATGAGAGCGGTTCCGTTTCTTTGCTTCGGTGGCATCGATTGTGGCTGCACGATCTGTCTGTAACTTTTCGTACTCTTCCACTATTTGCATGTATTTTGCCTTGTCTTCCTCGTCACGCTCATGTACCGTACCGGCCGCTGCATTTTTGTCAATTTTATTTAACATATACAGCGCCTTCTGGTACATCTGTCTCATGACCACGCCCGAGGGTTTCCTTTTCTTAGAGGCGGGATTGCTGCCTGCAACGGCCGCCGATTTGCTGGTTGTTGGTTGCTCGTCCGGAGTACTACGGCAGGCACTACCGGTGCTATTTTTGACTATTTGCAGAGTGGTGATACTTTGTCTGGCATCTTCCACCCTGCTGGTTTCTGGCGCTTGTACAACTGGGGTACTATGGCTGGCGCCACCAGGAGTACTTGCAACCATCTTACCTGTCTTTGGGGATTTGAGGAGCTGCTCCTCCTCTGACAGCGTTACGTCGTCCCCATCTTCGTTGGTACGCTGTTCATGTTGCTGTTGTTGGTTTGTATGTTGTTGGTTTTTTGTTTGTTCTTGTTTTTCCATATGTGGTCCCACGAGTAGTCCGGAAAGGGTTAGTCGCTCGTCCGCAGAGCCGGGATGCGTAGAGAAGGCACTTCTTACAACCGACCTTGCCCGGGCATCGGAGGGGACCGTACGCGACCAGCCATTTTTTACTACCCGCTGGCCATTCATCCATCGGCACGGTTGCCTACACACCTTGGCTTGGGTAGTGTTGGTACGGTAATCCTGCCATTTCCACCTTCAGCAATAAAAACAACACTCCAGCTTGGATTGTTAAGGAATATTGCCGAAGGCTTCAATACCAGGCTTCCCTCTTAGTTCATGGAGGCATGATACAATTCACACTGTGAATTATACCATGACTCCATTTAAGCCCCCTCGCCACGGCAAGACGACCAACGCTGAGGAGGTGTGTTTTACTATTCAAATATTTTAATTTTTTTAACATCACTGAGAATTCTATTTTGTGAGGGTTATAATCTCAAGTGCGGGCGACGCCGCCTACGCTGAAAGGTGTTCTCTGCAAAAGGTGTTTTTTTTTAAATTATTTTACATTAATTCAATTTTTGTAAGAACTATACAACATATAAATTTTCAAGATCCATCCATCAGTTTTTAAGAAATCTTGATTTCAAAAATTGCTCAGTTTGAACTTTAACCTTGATGATTGTTGTTGTTGTTGTTTGCCCAAAAAAAGAAGTATACCGTTATACTCAGCTCAATCATCTCCATCGATTCCAATTTTTTTTGTTTTTTTTTTTTGAGATTTGGAGCCCAAGTGCATTTGTTCCCAAAAGTCATCAAATAAAAGCTGTGGAGTCAACAGCTGTGGAGTTTATGGTGGTTGGCTACCGTCCACAAATATAAATATGCACTCTGCATGGCTTTTTACAATGGCGAGTCCAAAAATTCACTTTGCTGCACACCTTCCTTTTGTTCTACATGAAATTGCAAACACTTTTAATACATAAATTTTTTTAATGTGCTAAAAATCGTACTTACCTAAAGGGCTACATGTCCAAAATTATTGCTACGTGTTCCTAATTAATCAATCTTTGCGTATTTATTAATTCCTGCAAAATTGGGCCATGTAATATTAAAATTAACACATTTTTCTGCATTGTTTACATATTTTTATATGCGTTTTGGCATTTCTCTCTTGCAATTGCACCAAGATGACGTCACGCAAAAATTACGCTCAAAAATCCTATCTCATTGGCGCAATCTTGTATTCTATCATTCTTGGGGGATATATACATTTTTTACACTCCCAGTAATCCATAAGGTCCGTATCAACATCAATGCGCTTCTCCTTATAGGTGCCTATATCCATAAATGCTTTTCGAACATTAATCTTCGGAAAAAGTAAAAGTCAAGTTTAAACTTTTATATTTGACTGAAAAAATAAGTCAAGTTTTAACTTTTATTTTTGACCGAAAAAACAAGTAACATGTTAACTTTTATATTTGACCAAAAAAATAAAAGTCAAGTGTTATCTTTTATTTTTGACCGAAAAATTAAAAGTCATATTTAAACTTTCATTTTTGACCGAAAAAATAAAAGTCAATTGGTAACTTTTAACTGAAAACATATCGGTGAAAAATAACGATTATTTTTTAACTTTTTTGATAAAAAAGCATAACCGTCCCTGGAAAGAACTTTATGTGGTGTAATAATTTCAAGAAGTTTAATATCTTTTCCATTGAAATCGAATATTATTTTCATGTGCTAAATGCTAAGATTTAAGTTTTGCTACCTTTCCATATTTTTGCCAGCCACTTTAATATTCGTCACCGAGTAATTGGAATTAGCAAGAAACCGCGATATTTTATAAGCGTGCTTTGACAGATGATTAGCCACGACCTATTTGAAGATCATTGGCAAGGCGAGTTTACACTTTTAGCAGTTGTTGCCAATCGGCCCTATACTGAATATCGTCGACGATCGTCAGCGCATCAGTAACATGGCAGACGATGACCGTACTTTACTGACGATGACGATATTCAACATGGAGCGGAATATTCACCAATTAAATAGAAAAAATTCAAAACGCGAAACTATTGCTAGAAGTGAAAGGGTGATAATAACCTAACCAAAGGCTTGTGAAATGGACCATTTTAAAAAGAATTGGACCAATGAACCAAACGAAAAGAAATGGACCAAAACGGCAACCGTGGTAAGTATAACCAGACATTAAACAACCGGCCCTTACCCTTTACCAAACACAAATCATTAAAAATCCTACTCCAATCATTCTAAATTAAATTATGTATCCTCCTTAAAGCTTCTTTAGGATTAAGATCTACCCTTAACTGAACTCCCCTATCCACTGTCGCTTTAGTAGCTAGATCAGCCTTTTCATTAACATCTATCCCCACATGACTAGGCACCCAAATAATTCTAATACATTCCATGCCAGAAATAAAAATATCATTGTGAATGTCAGCTACAATATAAGAACTTGTACTATCCTCAGCAAGAGCATTTATCGCCAACAAAATATCTGTAAAAATAACACCTTTTAAAATACGCAATTTAACAAAAATATTAACTACCAACTCCCCAAACATAGATGAAAAAGAACCCTAAATACAATAGAGATAAGACATATTCAACCTCGAATCATGAACTCGCAGACCTCCGTACTACCGAAGCATCCATCGCTAATAAATAAAAACCTCTTTCACAAAGGTAATTCTTTTCCTCAAGATACATGCGTTTTAACTGTTCACTTGAAACATTCTTTTTTGAAGTATATAATTTAGATTTAATCAATACCAAACCTTCATGTCTATTAAACGAAACATTAAAATTTATATTATTAAACATTTCTTTAAACTTATCATAAACAAACCCATAACTTGATTTTGTACTATTACAACTAAGCAAGTCATTCCTTACAACATCATTACTCATCCATTGTCTAACCAATTCCTTAGCCATCAACCACTCAGCCCTCTTAAACGGCGGAAGTTCACCAGCCAATGTAAACCTTACATAAATAGGTGTACTAGGAGGAACACCAATAAACCTTCTTAACGTATCATTAACAACAACTTGTAATCTTCTATTAACACCAACAGACATATTAGCAAAAGTCGTATTAGCATACTCAACTTTAGACCTGAGAAAAGCCTTATAAAAATTCAAAGCAATCTTAGGTTCAAGCCCAGATTTTATAGTAGTAAGTTTAGAAATAATACGAGAACACAGAGAAATTTCTTTTCTAACCATCTCAACATGATCACTAACAGAGGCACTAACTATCCTTCCTAGCCACTTAAGCTTAAAAACCTGTTCAATCACCTGACCATTCACATTTAAAACAAAATCGTTTCTCCTAATAGTGTTATAATACATAAATTTAGTTTTATTCCAATTAACTAACAAATCCAAAGAGGCACAAACCCGATTAAACTGTAAAATTTTTCCTCTTAAACGATCGAAAGCAACATCAACATTTTTATCATGACATACAATAATAAAGTCATCAGCAAATTGATAAATTCTCGAATTATCATCATTAACCACATGTAAACCAGAAGTATAAATATTAAACAAAACAGGAGAAAGACAACTTCCTTGAGGTAATCCATTTCTAACACACACCTGCTTATCACCCAAACTAAGACATCTACTAGAGACACATTTTTTAATCCAATCCACCAACTTGCCACAACATCCACCATCATCCATAATACGACATAATTTAGACAAACGAACACAATTATAAGCATTCTCTAAATCCAATATACAAATAAACATTTTCTGACTCTTGCATTTAAGTTCACTAGTCCATAATAAAAACTCATTCAAACACATAGTAGATTTCACTTTCCTATATGCGAAACTTCTTGCCGGCTTAATACTCATATTCTCTGCCCACTCTACAATTCTATCTTTAACAATCATATTCAAACACTTAACAAAAACTGACAACAACGAGATAGGCCTAAAATTTCTAATATCACTTAAGTCCCTATTAGGTTTAGGAATAGGAACAATCTTAATAATTCTCCAAACATCCTTAACAATATTATTATTAAAATACATTTCTAATTCTTTCAACAAATTCTTTTGGTAATATAATGGAATTAGCTTAATCATTTCAAAAGTGACCCTGTCATGTCCTTCTTCTAAAATCATCAAAAGAAAAACTAATCCACGACATATCACTATCAATTCCAACAGTCCTTTCCCTAAGCAAATCTTCATCAAGATCACAAACCTGACTCTTAAGAAAATCCAAGTATTTTTCATTATCCTCACTCAACCAATCAACACTCTTATTCTTCCTACCTTTAACATTGTTAACAAAACACCAAGCTTCTTTTGTGTTCGCATTAACATTAAGCTCCTCCACCCTAGCCCTATAACTTAATCTTCTAGCCTCCTTAACCGCCTTCTTCCAGTCATCTGCAAGAACTGCAGCTTGTTTCATATGCTGTACATCACCAGTCAACTTAGCCCTCTTTCTAGATGTTAACAGAACCCTATACTTTTTATTCAACTCATCATTCCACCAATATTTTGGAGAAAACTTAAAACTATCAATCCTAGTGGTAGACTCACTGATTGCAGATTTCATTTTTGATTCCAAAATATCCAAATCCCTTACATCATCAGAAATACTAGCCAACTTCCTTCCTAACTTAACTTTAGATAAAAATAATTGTAACTTTTTGAAAAACCAGACCAAACAATTATAATAGGATGATGATGACTTCCCCCAACAAAACTCAAATTACAATCCCAACAAACATTACTACTAATATTTGTAAAAGATAAGTCCAGAGTAAACTCAACACCCCTACTTGCTGAAGTAATTGTAAAAGTACTAGACCCATCATTCAAAGTTCTAAGTCCAACCCTATTAACCCCATCTAAAAGAATCATCCCTTTAGACGTATCAACAATCCTCCCCAAACTCTAGCCTTAGCATTAAAATCCCCAAGAAACCATAAATTATTAAGGGCCGGTTAAACATCATTATCGACGTTTTCGTCCCCATGCTTATAACA